ACGGCGCAGCGTGCGTGGTATTTAAGTAACACAAGTGAAATGGACAGTCGTGCAAGATTTGGGAGCGACAAGCTGTCTGCGTATAATTAGACGCTTCGAGTGCTATACATTCTTGGACGGATCCGAAACATTTTCATCCGCGATCGCTGCCACTTGAACAGCAAATGTGATTTCCTTGGCATGAAGCTGAATAAATAACGAATAAGTAGTAATGTAGAATATAGGAAATAAAATGTTCCCTCAATTTGATCATTAACACTGCTTATAAATTATTTCGTAGTATTCTGCCGCTCTGACGTTCGTTAGTACGTGCATTAGAGCTTAAACATTACGTGTTGTACTTACATACTTCAGTTCAACGATAACCTTAATCTTTAAATGAGAGTGAATGTATACACGATTCGTGTACGGCGTTCAGTTGTCAACGATTCTTATTTTAATCTGTGCAAAGTGTTGGCAGACACACGTGACGCATTCCACATTTCAATGGGAAACTGTGTCAACGAGGATCAAAGACCTGACACGCGCATGGCTATCGACACGATCCAGGTTTTCCTTTTTTCAGCGTCAAATCAAATTAAGCCCGACCTCCGGCAATTAGGATTTAATTATGGCCGACGCATGGCACGCAATGAAAACGTAGCTCTCGTTTCTTTTTTTTTTTTTTTTTTTTTTTTTTCTACACTGCTGTTCCATAAACGAATATGGGCTGAAAGCACTTGTACTGTTTCGAAGTTTCAAAATGTACGAAACGATTATTTTTACGAAAATAAGTAACACTTTGTACATAGTTTAATATATAATGTGTTGGATATGATGTAGTTCGTAGTATAACTATAATATATAAGCTATGGTGTTACATGTTATGTAACATAGCTTTAATCATATGTCTCTAATTCGACTTTTTAAATTGCACGAAAGAATGAATGGATGTGCATTCATTGTCATTCATAGGAGATCTTTAATCGCCATTGACACAGTTTTCATCAAATTTCTATTCATCGGTAATTAATATCTGGTTGCCTGCCCTGTCGAAGGAAATTTACGTAATAACAGGTCTGCGACAGCTGTTATGGAAACTCTATAATTAAAACGAAAGACGAGGCGAGGTAAATTACTCTTTGAATTCCATGTATTTCTTAAAGTACATTCGTGAAATGACTAGCGTGTCTTCGTTCCCTTTCAAAAACTAATTGCCATGTACACTCGCGCGATCAAAAGTTTACCAAGCGAGAGTTGCATCGCCAATTTGATTTAAATCTTTTTAATTTCCACAAGATGCTCGTTAATTTCTTGGATATTAGAAATATTAATCGACAATTTTGATGAAGTGCGCATCAAAGAGTAGATCGCAGATTTTTATGAATGTGACAAAAAAAAAAAATACCTTGAAAATATGATGATTCGTTTGGAAAAAGATTTAAAAGGAATTGGAAACAATTCTTGTGGAAAATTTTCACGGACACGTTGTCACGTTGCCGTCATTTTCAAAGTTTTTGCGTCCGGATTGAGCAGAAATTCCAGGGGAAATCCCAGTTGTCAAAAAAAAAAAAAAAAAAAAAAAAAAAAA